ATTATTGTGTTCTCTTTGACTGTGGAAGCTCCTTTACTACCTGCACTTTGCTTTAGTCAGTGAGGTCTATAGAAATGTTACATTCAATTATTCTCTCTCTCTCATGGGAGTTTTCAGCTGCCTTGAAGTATCCTGTCTTGAATTTTCTCAGTCATGCCATTTGAACTTGGTAGCTTGTTTCACCTTGTAGTTCCCAGATCCACACTGTAATTTTGTATCACCCTTTGGTTATATGACTTATTTTTAACAGGGAGAAAGAAGTATCTTCAAATGGCATCTAGCTTTAGGTTTGCTCACTGAGCTAATATCAATATGGTATGATTTATCCATAAATATGGGCCCTCTGTCTGAATACTGACTAAAACTATGTGCAGGGGGAAGATTGTAAGTAATCCAGAGTTTAACAAAGGCATGGGAAATGTTTGTAAAATGGATACAATATGTAATTCTCCATTACCTGTCTCTATGCATGAAATTGACTTTCGTAATGGAAACCTGAAGCTGGAAACCTACTAACACTTGAGATGTGATTAGTTTATACCAGTGCTCCATAGTAGCTGTTTTTGCACGTCTGCACTATCCCACAGGCCAGTAAGTAGAAGTTAAACGGCAATAATTTAGTAGTTTGCCCCTGAATTAAACAACTGCTAAATTACGGTGGGCTAGTTTATATATAATGCAAAATAGAGTAGTTGTTTGAGAGTGATTGATTGTTTTGTGTCTAATGCACAAATCATGTCCCCCACCCCCTTTAACTTGGTATAATTTGTCCATTTGTCTACATCAGGGTGCAGCAACCCTCTGGGGTTGCCATGAGCTCCTTTTAAGGGTGCTGCACAATATTAGCACTGTTAGGCATGTAGACATCTGCATGTGGTTCACAAGACAAACCCAGAGATTTCAAACAGAAATCCATGCTGCCAAAACATTGTGACCTGTTGCAGTCCTTGAGTTTGCAGCAGAATTGCTCTCATTTATTTTTCTGTAGTCAAAAAAGCAAAAACTAAAAGCTGACACTTTTCTGAGAGGTGCTTTGAGACTGAGAAGGTAAGTATTATGGTACCCTTAAACCACAGGAGATTCCCTATTTACATATTGACTTTGGAGTTCTAGAATCGTGAGACCTCTGCCTTTTGTAAAAATGACTCAACTAAACTATGAATATCTGAATGGCTGCTTACTCCAAATATATTGAGAAATTTTCAATTTCAGCTTTATCTTCTGATGTCTTTTGTGGGAGAGATTAGCTGTTAATCATTTACAGTTTAGTATGCAATGGAAACCTTTTAGTAGGACTTACAGAGAAAGTTAAGAATTACAGGTTCTTTCTGCACTGCAGAGACAGTATGAGGATTTTGTGGCACTTTATTTTTAGCTGTGAGTAGGTTCAACTATGTGTGGGTGCCATGTTTATGCATGTTCAGTACTGGAGTTATCCAGACATTGATGTCCAGCATCTAATAGAATTTAGTAAACACGGCTAAAACGGAAGTTTTTCACCTTATTTTCAAAATACTGATTCTTTGGCTGTTAACCAAATAGCTTTAACTAGATTGTTGTCACAGTGAAGTTTTACTAGTTTGTTCTTCTATCTTCCATTCCAGTGCTCTTACCAGGAGACCATACTACTTTCTATATATGTTCAATACTTCTTCCAGGGGAATCTATGGCAACATTTTAATAGACTTTAAGGACAGGAGGATCTGACCCTACATTCTGCATTTCTCCACTACTTTGCCTCTGTCTCCAAGCTGATGCAGGAGAACATAGTGCTAGATAAGATCCTGATATACTTAAGCACATGCTTAAATCCCTCTGAGTTCCAAAGCGTAGGCATGCAAGTTCAGCAGAAAGTGTGCGCCCTTTGTTGAATTGGGTCCTAAATTGCTGTAACCCTCCATATTAGGAAGTTGGCCTTTAAGATTGCCCTCTCTTTCTTTAAGGGAAATGGAATGGATTGGTTGGAATATTGGAATCCATTTTGGCAGACTGATCTGTCCTGTAGCCGTGCTATCCAAGATGCAGAATGGTGGGAAGAGAAACCTACCATTCTGTCGGTTCTTGGGATTGGTCCCAAACAAATGAGTAGGTTGAGGATTTTGATTTGTCCTTTAATTTCCTCTTGGTGCCCATTTTGTAGCTCCAGCTGTTTGCTTGAATACAAATTTCACTTCTTCTCATTTTTTTTTGATTCAGGGTCTCATGTCTATCTGGCTGATTTTAGTTCTGCTTTTTCAGTTGCTGAAAAACATGACACTGAAATTCCTAAGTGATAGAGACTGGATCTGGAATGTACAGCCTTTTCAATGTGTCTTTTTGGTTAAGTGTTGGGTAAAAAAGGAATGTGCTGCTTCTTATTTGGAACATCTCTTTTGGTTAGTCTAACCCCTGTGATCTCTCCCTTTTTTATGTGAAACAAGCTGAAAACATCTTGTATGGTAACTGACAGCTCTGTGTTTTAGAGGCATGGAAATTCTGAAAGACAGTTTTATTGGTGTAACAGATGCTATACATCCAGCGCATATTTGAAAAGACAGTTATGTCAAGGAGATAAGTGTTGCATATTTGTGTGTTCCTAGTTGAATGGATGTGGGATGAAGTAACAGTCTTATGGGAACTATCATTGCTGGGGATTAACTGCAAATTGTTAATTCAGGTAACATGTCTCACCCCCAAGGAAAATAATATGCTAGTTTGTTCTGGCTCAAATTGCATAAAGAAAAGGCCTTGACCTGGGGTGGGAACAGTCTAGCACCGGAACAAAGAATTGGCAAACTTATGCGTGGTCCCTGCCAGGCAGATGATGGATAATACCTGGTAAGTCTGACATGTATAAGCTGTTCACTGAGAAAACGGACTAAAAAATAATAATGCTTTTGCCCTAACAAGTAGTACTGTGTTACAAAGGTCACTGGTTAACTGTCGCTTCCTGAGGGATTGCAGATAAAAAGGTTCTGACCCAAACTCAGACCTGCTGGGATAATTTGGGTGAACTATAAAGGGATTGCTGTCTGAAAAATTCAGTGTCGGGGGAGAAAATGCAGGCTTGTGCCCCAAGAATGATCTTGTCAAGAGGTCTGAGCCTAAGTGGAATACCATGAAAGAAATCCCCAGGGATTAGAGGTGAAGTTCATCTGGAAACTGGACAGTGACTGAAGTTGTTCAGGCAGTAAGATGAGCTTGTTAAGGACTCTTGTCTGATAGCATGGCCCAGTTGTAACATATACTTGAACGTGCTATGAGTGCATGCCTGTCTTTTCCTCCTCCTTTTTTTTTTTAACATAGCTGTGTGTTCTGTATGTCTTTTTTTGGTGGATTTAAAAAAGGAAACAAGTTCATATAAAGACTTTGGATTGATAAATAACAAGAGCTAAAGCAGGTTGACTATACCAATGGAAACATTTGTCATTGCCAGTTCCAATGTTATCAGTATGAACCATCTGAACTCTGCCTTTCTCTTTCTTTGCTGCCCCTGGGGTTTAATGGCTTTGCAGAGAAGTTCCTGCCAGGCATATTGAGCTGCTCCAGAAGGTCTAACTCATAAGCAGTGGGTACTGAACAGCAGCCTAGTAATGCTGTGGGTTTTGACTCACCATGCTGTTTTTAATTGCAGTTCTTCAGAACATAGATAATCTGTGCAGATTGTAAGCAGTGTTAGGGAGTCTGTGGGCCTAAACCAATAAAATGATTTATTTGTATGGCTACAAAGGGCTGCTCTGCTTTTCTTTTCCTAGCATTAACATTTCTCCTTTGCACATACTGCTTGTATTTAAGCTAGCTTTTGTGTGTGGCTCCTGCTGTAGCTGGCACATGGTTCTATACCTCATGTCCGCAGTGACCCATGTTCTGCAGGAAATTTTGAATCCACTGTAAATCAATTCAGAAGCAATTGCAATTGCAGTGTCCTGAAATCAACACCCAATCTTCTTGGTAATATTTTAATTTTTTTTCTGTCACCAGAAAATGGTTAAAGGGTCCTGTCTGCATATACCACAAAAATGTAATGAGTGACAGAAAAATATTTTAATTTGACAGCTGATTGCTTCGAAGAGATGCTTATTGAAACACTCGCCGCAAGATAATAAAATGGTCTCCACCCTAGTGTCTAGATTCTTACAACATTTGTCTTTGTTAAGTTTTATAGGGTTTTCTTGTTTTTTAAATTCCTGCCTCATTTGGTTTTAAACCACTTGGAGAATGTAAGTGTTTTTGGTAGGCTCTGTTGTTTTTGTTGCTATCTACATCTTTACCTTTTAGACACGGTTAATATTAATGCTAAGAAGAGGTTTCAGATGAACTGTACTGAAAAATTAATTTCTGTTTCCAGAAAAGATTTAGCCCATGCAACTTAAACAGCCTTGTTACTGATATGTGCCTCAATCCTGTTTCAGGAGTGTTAATGCCTAGATGGTCTTTGCCAAGTTTGAGTATGGAGTCAGTTAAGAAAGAGACATTGTGAGAGCAGTTATTTAATTTGTAAACTAGAAGAAGCTCATGCCAGGGACAGCAATGAGGACTCCCAAAATCTGTGGATAGGGTACTGTGATGGCATTATATGGAACCGCAACCTATTTTTGTCTTGTAGAAACTTAGTGGCTTTCTAAACCAAGGTGAAGAAAACTTACAGATGTAGTCCTTCAGGCTGTCTTAGTATTCTGCCAGATGTTGCTGAGGGGTTCTGTATATTAAAGTGGATTAAATTTGCTGCTCCTGTCTATCATAGTTATCTTGATGCTTATTTAAGAATGCAGAGGTACATGTGTGGAACTTGGGGTTCAAAAGCTCTGTACCAAGTTAGAGAGTGTGTGCCAAATGAAGGGTGTTTTGCTGCTTCTCCCACCTCTTAGTTCAGCTAGCTCCTTGCCACTGGTGATTTGTATAGATACCCTGCCAGTTAAGAGCTCACCCCCTCTACCTGTGTTTTACTCCTGAAAACTTCTACCATATTAATTACAGTTATAATGAATTTTTTAGCTCTACTTTTTTTTTTCTTGCCCCAGGTCCAGCAAGACTATGAATCTCTGTTCCAAATGCTTTGCTGGTAAGTGCAGTAAAGGTTTTATTTTTGCTAGACTGTCTAAATCATTGTTGGCATCTCCTTCAGGGTTTATGCATGGGGTTCTGTTTCTTCAGTGTCTGTGTGTGAAGTCAGATTCTCCTCACTTTGGCGCTTCATTTATTAGCTCAGGTTTGTTGAAACAATCTCTAGTGTGTGTGTAAAGCAGCAGCCTCTTGTGTAAATGCACCAATGGAGCCTTCACTCAGTGAAGTTTACAGAAGTCTGGAATGCCCTTGAACTACAGAACTCCACTCTTGGCACAACTTCTGTAAAGATGACATAGCTTTCAAAGCCTTCCTAGTTTTAAGACAGCTCTCAGTCTGATTTGGAATTTTGAATTTAGCAAGGCACATTTTTACCATAAAAATAAACACTGGAATTTAGTGTGGGTGAAAACTGAAAGGGAAGAGTGGGTACGGAAGTCTGTCTTGTCTCAATTTTAAGACTTAAGTGATAAAAATTAAAATAATCAGTAGCTGACCAACAGGCAAAGCCTAAACTGCATCTTGTTTTAATTTTTGCAAAGTTTTCTTTTGCTTGAGAAGAACCTTCTTGGCTTTTTTGTTCCAGTTTCTCCTAACTTGGCCCTTTTAGAACAGTTTATTCACAACTTGAAACTTATGTTTTGCCACTAATTATTTTGGTGCCATTTTTTGTCATCATTAAAACTTTTCAGTTTTCCCATGATGCTAAAATCTCTTTCAGGAGAACAGAAATAAATAGTAAAAGCTCATGTAGAAAATCTCAAAGCATACAGTGGTGCTCAAATTTCTTGCCCTATGGGCCAGGTGACTGACATGGGGCCATGCCGGCAAATTTCTGTGCCCATTGGGGAGCCCTGTGACCTGGAGTTTGAGCACCGCTGGCTTAGATTATTGGTTCATCTGTTGAAGTATTGAATTCTAGAATTCAAATACTGTGACCCTGAAGATTTTTTAAACTGTTGGTTTCAAATAGAAAAATCCACTTGCTCTTGAAAATGTAGCACAAAAATGAACAGAACGCAAGTAGGTTACTATGAATTTGTTTAAATGTATTTAGGGAGAATGGCTCTGTGGTTCATCGATCTTGCTTACAGAATCACCATATTAATACTGTAAAGAAATAAAATGCTACAAACATTGGATGCACTCAGTTACCCCACAAGTATGTAGATTGGTTTCCAAGTACCAAACACTTGTGTATTTTTCAATTTCTAGTTAAGTATCAGCCTTGCATGTGCTGCAGTTAATAGAATCCTCAAGGCTGTACAACTAGCATGCAAGCATGAAGTGGAGCATCTTCAAATGTTGGCTTGTATTGATTTTTTTTCTCCCCCTCCACCCCCAAAGAAAACATTTTAAAGTTGCTTTCTTAATTTCCTCATTCTGCCATCTTGTTTGAAAATCTTTTCCCTTTTAGTTTCCCTCCATTCCAAAAAAAATCAGTTGTGCAAAGGTTCATTCAGACATTATGGGTGATGTTCTCCATACTTATATGCAAGAAGTATACAGTATAAAGAATCTCATCAGAACCATTTTGGTCTCTCTAAAACAGACAGTATTCTATGAGCTTCAGAAGTCACCATGTCTAGTAGACCATAACAGTCTGTTGGTCAGTGATCGGAATGCCACAGTCATTATTGCCAATCAGGACAAGAACTGATATTCCTAGAGTGGCAAGTTGGTTTTGCAATCCTGATTTCTTATGGCCTCTTGTCAGCAGTCTGGTGGAGGCAATTTTCTAGTATTCAAGGATTGGCACTATGTCTGTAATCTCTCCTTCCTGTTCCCATCCGCCTTTCCCTTACCTCCTTCCTTCATGCCTTGGTGCATCTGTGTGTGTTTGTTTTTAAATATACTATGTATATTTGGATTTCAAGACCTGGGATGCCAGTGCACATCACATTACCCCTAGATAATTCACCTCAAACTTTACTGCAGAGTAAAAATTACACCAGTATACTGAGTGGGCATTATGAGCAACTCTTCTGAAGTAGGGAGAGTTGGTAGTAGTCTGTTTACATTGGGTAAACAGTTACCCTGGTATGATGGAGCTGTGGGCAAGCTGCACATACACCAGTGTAACTTGACCCTGGGTAAAGTTATGCACTTCTTTCCAGCATAATTTTACTTCAAAAGCTAGTGAATTACCATATTTTCTTGTACATAACCTGTATCTCTTCCACCAAACCAACTGGTGAAAATTGGGCTGCATATTGTATGCAAGAATTCTATACCTGGGGTGATCCAGTTATTTGGCAGCACGGAAGCAGTGGCAGCATTAATTGCCACTGCTCCTCTGCCACCAGGTTTTTGGATTGGTGGGAATCTCCCTGGCTGGATGACATGGCCCCATGTACCAGGCTGGTGCATGAGGGCTGGTGCATGGTGTACCAGGCTGGGGCATGAGATCTATCCAGTGCATGGCCCTCAACCCAGCACACAGGGCCTGCTTACTGACCCAATCTGGCAGCTGGGACTGGCAGTAGGCTTGGCTCCTGTGCTGCTGCTACTCTGTTACTACAAGGAAGATTTTTTTTTTGGTAAGCTGCCTTTGAAAAACTTGAAAACAGGTGCATATTATCTATAACAGTGCGCTGTATATGGTACTCTATAGAAAGGTAGGACATTGCATCTGTTCTGCTTTTGCTAAAGAGTAAAGTTGACTTATTTTTTTTCTAGAGTAAATGTGTTTTACCCTTTTACTCTGTAGATTGGAATACAATAGGTGGTAACGGTTCAGATAAAGATTGAAGTCATACATTTTTTTCATAATTTTGGGCATCTAAGATATAGTTAAAAAGGTGAAGAGTCTCCTTTTTGTTAAAGTAGCAAGCTCTTTATACAAGCATATTGGAATTGATTTCTAATAGGGGAAGAGTTGGAAGTTTTATTACCTCTTTTGATCCTCATTTCCTTTCTCTCATTTTAGAAAAAAGAAATCCACACAACGAAAAAGGTTAGTACTATATTAAATTGCTTTGAAAACGCATATGCGCGCACACTTTTTTTTTTTTTTTTTTTAAAGAAACATAGAAGGCAATCTCTTTACTGTTCCCTGTGGTGGGAAACCCTGATGTGTGGGTAGTAGACATTAGGTTCTTAAATCTGCTAGGTAAGGAAGGCAACAAAGCTTTGAGGGACTAAAATGTATTTGCTAGGTTTGCATTGCCGTATAAATTAATGAACCTGAGCCTTTCTCTCTACTTTTCTGAATAACATGCAAGTTCTTGAATAATTATCATGATTATGATATGACCTGCCTTTCCCATGAATGTTCATGGCTGCTCTAAGATCATGTATTTTGGTCGGATAAGATTAAACTGGTGCAGATAGTCAGAGCAAAGGGCAATCCCCAGAAACTTGTTTTTGAAATCTGGTCTGACTAAATACCGATGATTGCTAAATGGCAATTGCTGTTCTGGCAACCTGTTGATTTAACCTGTCATCCAGTAGGAAACATCCTAAGACCAGGAATTCCTGATTCTTTTCAATCTCATATTCAGCATGGGGCTAATATTTCCCTAACTTTCATAAGTTTTCTAAGGGTTTGTTTAGCTCTTTTTTAGTTAGTGGTAGTATGCTATGCACTTTAAAGGCAAGAGAAAATATGCTTTGCTTGGAAGAACCTTAAGTCTTAAAAGCTTATAAGATGTGAAAGTTCACAAGATTGTTCTGTATGACCACAGGTTTATTGTTTCTGGTTTGGTGCTTATTTCTTACACTCTACCAGTAATTGGGAAACACTAAAAGAAAGTTTTCAAAGAAAATACAAAAAAAAAGAAAAGAAAAGAAAATCAGACCTGTTTTATTTAAGCATCAGGAAGAATAGCATAAACACTGAAATGTTCAAGAACCTTTGGGGAAAGTATTTTATTTTAATACTGAGTTAGTAAAATATTTTACAGTATACTAGTCTCCAGGTTTTATAGTAAGATACCACTGTTCCAGTGTCTACAGCTTACAGTAGAGTAAAAATCAGTATTTTTGATCACCAGACCGGCAATTTCAATACACGTATAGTGGCTATATGCCAGACTATATATTTTTTGTCTCCTTAATCCTGGGGTTATTTTTCCCTTGAGTTTGAGGGGAAACGCATAGCAAGAAAGGATTAAGCGTTTAAAATTTAAATATATTTAACTTCAGTGGTTAATATTGATACCCCTGGAATTCATCTGCATCTGAGATCAGTTTAACCCATCCACTTCCAGTGAAGAGTTCCTTTTTTGCATTGTATATAAGGACTGGACATTTTTTTTTTTTCTTTGGGAGATCATGAAATTGGCTCACTAAATTGCTAGAAGAGTCACTTTGCGGGTAATACAAATAATTTTCCATTTCTTCCATCTCTCTAAATTACTTCCAGGTTTTACACTACTAGCTTTACCTTGTGATTTTGGTACAAGACACTGGAATCAAAGTAGAATTCCCATATGGCCCAGCAAACATGAATTTCCCAAAACAAACATGTGCAGTTCTAAGTGGATTTGGGGGTCAGTAAAATGCAGATTTGGCTTTGTCAGGCAAGTAGCTTATAACACCAGAAAACAATTCCAGCAAAACGTGCATTTTGTAAACTAATTTTTTTGTATCCTTTAATCTGTGGTTTGAAGTGTGGCAAGATAAATGGTGACCCATGTTCATGCTTTATTTAATCCCTTTCTGCTCAGGAAAAACTTAGTTTCTTAAAAACAAAACCAAAAATACTCTCACAAACCTGTGCACTTGCATTCTCTGTTGTTGTATGACCCCCCTCTACTGATGTGCAACCTCATGTTTTATTTACCTTGTCTGAACAGCAGCGAGAAATTCCTATGGTTTAAAAGCAGTACTGATGACAAGCTTCCCCATACACAGAATCTTGTTTTCAGAAGGGCATATAGTGTTACCTTTTTTTTAAGCGTCTCATAGAAGTTGGCACCTCAATCTGGGTTCCTCTGTTAGGCCAGATACGTTTGTGGTATGTCCCTACTGTATTCACGTCTGCCTTTGTATTTGTAGCATGTGAAATATGTTTGCTGAAACAAGCAGCATTCACTAGCTAACATTTGAGATGGGGGATGCATTTGATCTTCCAGCTTGTTTTTTATTATTCAAACTGATAAACACACTTTTGAAATATTTGTGTAATGGTAACCCTAAATTTGTTGAGTGTTTCTAGAGTGCCTATCAACAGGGAACTGCAGCATCATAATAGCTGCATAGCATTCATGTTATTACTTGATCTCTTATTCAGCCATTTGCAACCACAAGTTAAAACTACTATATTTCTAATTGGGAGGAGGGAGAAGAATGCCACAGAACTAGTCATCTCAGAAGCCAACCATGCATCAAACTTTATTAAGCAGAAAAATTATGATTATGAAACAGAATTATGTGGACACTAACTATAGAACTTGGTAGGGCTTTGTATACTTGATCTGTATTTTTACCAGCTTTTCCTTTTATACTTAGTTGGGCCATATTAATCACCAGTAAGAGTGTGTGTGCTGGTTTGTGTAATAACATTGTCTGATTTGTTAAAGCAGGATAATATTTTTTTTTTAATTGTCTGGGCAGCAGTTGCTCTTTTCTAAATATATTTCAAACTACAGTAGTAAATTGTAAGCAAGAGAAGTAAATTGAAAAAACAAAAATTTTGAAATAGATACGCAAGATAAGGAAATTGGTTTGTCCAAATCTGATTATATTACTAATTAAGTTAGTTCTGCTTGACTATGAAAACCTTGATGAACTGACCACAAGATTTTCCTTTTAAAGTTGATGGCACTCTGTTAATTCAAGTGCAAGATATATGCCTGAAATTTTCTGAATATTCCCCAGATGGTACTACAGGTTTAGGACATGAACAACCTTTTGAGTTACTTGAGTAACTGTAGTTCCTACCTCACAAAGATGGATTGTGGACTCTTATCTTCAACCGTAGAGTAGAAGTGAATCACACGGCTCTACGGCCTTGTAGCAAAACAGGTGTGGTTCTGGTGTATATAGTGTAGGGTGGGAATGGAGATCCACATAGAAGCTGCATACCTCTTTCATGCTAAGAACCCAGCTGTATGAAGGCTCTTTGCATACAGATGGGCTAAAAAGGTTTGGGTTTAAAGCTTTTGCTTCAGCCACGGGGCTAATCCATCAGCTATCTTCTCATGAGAGCAGAATGGTTCCATTGCATTGCTCAGTTGCAACTGGTAGAGGTAAGAGATTTTCTTTATGCAGCTTGGGTGCCAGACAGCATATCAGGAACAATTAATTTCTGTTTCTGACTCTCCCTAGCCTCAGGAAGACAGCATTGCACCTAGTTGCATGTAAAATATTTCTTCACAAATGTAAAGTTTAGGGGTGCACAAATAAAGATTGTCTTGGCTGATTATTAACCAGACACACTGGCCAATACCAATCCAATAGCCTATTTACAGGAACGCAGCCTGGCAGCTTGGAGAGCAGCATCCAGCCAGTAAGGCAGTGGGGAAAGAAGGGGCTTGGGTGGGGGGTGCAGATCCAGGTGAGGGAGGTAGTGGGGCAGAGGCAGGCACTGCCCAGCTGGGTGTGGGATGGAACTGTGTGCGACTTGTCCAGGGGTGTGGGGGGGAGGGTGGTGAGTGGGAAGGGGGTGGCTCCTCACAGCTATGCACATCCCTGTGGGAGGCATGCAGGGCATGTCCCCCCACCCCAGATTTGTGCACAGGGTGAGGGTGGGCTGTGGGCTCAGGGCCAGGGGCTGTGCTGGCCTCTTCCCAGCAGGGGGTGCTGGGCCAGGGCTGTGCTCAGGGTGGGTAGGGGTGGGGTGTGGTAGCTAGTGGTGGTGGTACTGGGAGGGGTGGCTGTGGAAAATTTTGGGGTGGTTAAAGTCCACCACATAGCCCCCCTCCCAGCTTGGCCACCACCTGCCCCAAGCCCAGCCCCACCACCAGGAAGAGGCCAGCACAGCCCCAGCCCCAATCCCACAGCAGCCTGCCCTCACCCCCCTCGCAAATCCGGGAGGGGGGCTCATGCCTCCCCTGTGAACATGTGCAGTAGCAGGGAGCTGCCTCTGCCCCACTCCCTCCTTCACTGTGGGGGCCTTGATCTGACCCTCACCTCCCCCCCCCCCCCCCCCCCCCCCCAGCAGGAGGCTGTTCTTCAAGCTGCTCAGCTGTGTTCCTGGCCATGTGCAGGCTATAGCTGTGTGCATGCATGCAGCATTTATCGGTGACATTGTTGGCTACATGGGCCAAAAAAAAAGCGCCAGTTGCTGATAATGTTATTTTTTTCTGTTAACGTTGCCCATCCAATATGCAACTGATATATTGCTGCACCTCTAATAAAGGCTTGAAAAAAATATAAGCTTAAATTTTATAGTAAGTAGGTCATGAGACTTAGCAGAGTTTCCTACTGCCCACAGGTGAGCATGTCAATGGACTTGAGAAACCTTTAATAGAATGTATGTTGTCCTCCCAAGAAGGTACTCAAACCTAAATAGCAGGAATCTAGATACTGAAGTGTGTTTTTTGTTTTTGTTTTTATGCAAGGTATATGAGCCCTTTCATGTGAAGTGACAAAGATACCAGTTTACAGGGTTGTGGAGAGTCCTGTTACACCTAAGAACTAGTATTGCTTTAGTATTTTTATAATGCCTGTTTAAGAAGATAAGAGTTTTAATTTGTAGAAAATGGTGAAAAGATTTCTGGCTGTTGTGGATTTTACAGCCTGGTAGTTTACTTCTGTTTATATAAGAGGTATGACCTCTGCTACATGTTGGCTACCTGAAAAGACTGCAAAATGTTTTTAATTTTAATAAGTTTCTGTATCTCAGAGGCATTCCATTGTCTGGTATTTTCCACGTCTATCCATCTCAAGGGTTTGCTTATCTCACTAAACTTGACTGCTGAGATGCTGAACAGTGAAATATCTCTGCAACCTCTCTACCTTATGCTTTTTTTCTTGTGTTTTTGTTCAGGTTTTTTTTAAAAAAAAGCT